TGTGTATATTCCTAACTGGTTTAATATCAAAGTAAATTCATGCTGGGTGGAGGGACCAATCAACTTACTTAAACAGATACAATTATTAAAAAATCAAACTCAGGAGGTAATTGACATTGTTTCACCCACTTTCAAACATTCAACATGGTATGCTCACCCTGAATCAGTTTTGCAAAGTATGCTCTGTACTCCAATTGAGATGAGAGAAAAGAAGCAGTTAATAAAATAGTTGAATTAAGAGGAGCTGGGAATGATGCACTTCAATTTGGAGATCTTTTAGGATTCGAAAGACTCCTTCCATCATCATGAAAGCAACCTCTTTGTTTGAACTTATAGACTGGAGTGATATTACTAAACCACCTTTAACATGTAATCTATCAACTGAAGCAGTAAAGGATTTTATTAACACTCCAATGAAAGTAACAAAGTGGCCCTCTCATACACAATCTCATACACTGAAAGTCCTTGTTATGTCTTTGGTCAGGCCAGAAAAAATACTTACATTCAAGGTCAAATAGCTAGCAGAGAACTTATGTCAAATAATTCTAGTAAAAAAGATATGGTAAACCTTATTGAAAAGAATTAGTTGCAAACTTGTATTTAATTGTGCTTAGTTAGATAAGTATGACTTGGACTTGTTGTTTTATGAAGTAAATATAAACATATGAGTGTTCAAAAAGTTTAAAGTTCTACATTTTCCTCGAAACTCTTTTCAACTAAAATAATGATCTGATATATATTTAGTTTTGGAATTACAAATCTGTGTATATACATATGTGTATATATATATATATATATATATATATATATATATATATATATATATATATATATATATATATATATATATATATATATATATATATATATATATATATATATATATACATATATATATATATATATATATAAATATAAGTATATATATATATAAGTATATATATATATATATATATAATACATATATATATATATATATATATATATATATTATATATATATATATATATATATATATATATATATATATATATATCAGCATAAAAATATTATTACTTTTTTTAAAAGCACAAGATAGTAGTTTAGGGTGTTCTTTTTTCTTTTTCAACCAAATATCATTCAAACTTGCTAAGTTATTTTGAAGAACTTTACCATATGGATGTTTAGTATATATATATATATAAGTATATATATATGTATATATATATATATATATATATATATATATATATATATATATATATATATATATGTATATATATATATATATATATATATATATATATATATATATATATATATATACATATATATATATATATATATATATATATATATATATATATATATATATATATCAGCATAAAAATATTATTACTTTTTTTAAAAGCACAAGATAGTAGTTTAGGGTGTTCTTTTTTCTTTTTCAACCAAATATCATTCAAACTTGCTAAGTTATTTTGAAGAACTTTACCATATGGATGTTTAGATGGAACACCTTTACCCAGAAGAGAACCAATTGAAGTGAACTTGATAGCGAAAAAACTATATATTGAAATTTATAATAATAACATAGAAAACAATAAATAATATAAATAAATAAAAAAAGTTGTCATGGCAGTTGTTTTGATTTGTTAGGTTGCTGTGGCAGTTGTTCTGATTTGTCAGACATCAAAATATAACCATAGCTATTTTAAAAGCACTGTTTTTTTTTCTGGTATCCTTGTTTATTTGTTTTTGTTTCTACTTTTTTTTCTCAATGTTATTTATATATAGAGATAAAATTTTAAATGCATTTTATAAAAAAATATTGTAAAAAAATTATCTATTGAACAACTAAATAGATTTTTCACGTAGTTCCTGTTTCGGTGTATTGGAGTGTATTAAGCAATAATCAAGTTCGTGGTTTGTTTGTCTTTTCATGTCTGTCATGTTTTTTCAAGTCTTTTCTAAATGTTTTGTCCTAGTTATACTCTAAGATACCATAAACCACCATCTATTGCTTTTAAGCACATTGTTGAGATCATCTTTGGTGTTGAATTTTTTATAAGAAAAAAACATTACTCATACCATCAGATAAATAAAAACAATTTATTTATTATTTATACAAACAAAAAAAAATTAAACCAAATTAAAAAAAAGCTTTGCACTTTCAGGTTTACTCAGCCATATATGCAAAACAACAGGCTCAACAATATGCAAAACAACAGGTTCAACAATATGCAGAACAACAGGTTCAACAATATGCAGAACAACAGGCTCAACAATATGCAGAACAACAGGCTCAACAATATGCAGAACAAACACTTTCATTTGCATATTTTTATTATTGCTCACTTCGCTTGATTATTTCAGTTTACACTTTTTTTTTTTAAACTTGTTTAAATTTAAACAAGTCTTAATTTAAACCATATATTTTTAAAATTTTGAATTTAAATTGATTTGCTTAATTTCTTACTTTAGAATCATTTTTCTTGAAATCAAACCAATATTCTTGAATTCAAAAATGAATTTTGCAAAGTGACTAATTAATTGTCTAAGTTTGTGTGTCAGAGTCATGGATGTTTATGTGTTGTCAGAGTCATGAATAATAGATTCGTGCAAATAATAGACTGTAACAACAATAGAAAATAACTCTAATAATAATAAAAATAAATAACAAAAAAAGTTCTTCTTTAATCTCTTCTAAATAATGGCAACATCTTAAACAAAGAAAGATTCTTTTATAGTTTTCTCTCCAAAACTACCCAGACACTATTCAGTGTCATAAATTAATTTCTAATAAATCATTACTTGCATTTTTTCAAAAAATTAGAACATTCAAGGTGTAGGGATTATCAATTTTGATACTGGAACCCTTGTGTAAAATGGTGTCAAAAATTCTGTGTTAAAAAATTTACTAACAAAAAATAGATTTAAAGACTTTAAATCACATTTTTTTATCTCTCAAATATCTCAACATTTTTGGGGCAACTGGACAACAACTGGATAACAAAGACGAGAAGATGATTCAAAGCTAAAAAGAGCCTTTAAGGACTTCCAATCCCCTTTAAAAAGTTAAGGCTAATTCAGAAAAACTTGATGTTATTTAAAATTTTTCCAATATAATTATCAGAAATATTTTGTACCACAGTTTTGAAACTATTAGAAATTAGATATAGATTAGATTATATAACGATTAATTAAGCTCCAAATCTCCAAACCTAATGTAGCAACAATGTCAACTTGACATTTGTAAATATTGTTTTTCTCAACGAGATATTAATATCTGAAACAAACTGACACTGTAAAAGCAGAAAACATGTCATTTTAAAAAGTTAAATAAAAAATTCTCTTATTTCGAAAAAATTTTTATAAAGTATATGAATAAAAATCTTGCTTATAAAATATAAAAATATAAAAATATAAAAATATAAAAATATAAAAATATAAAAATATAAAAATATAAAAATATAAAAATATAAAAATATAAAAATATAAAAATATAAAAATATAAAAATATAAAAATATAAAAATATAAAAATATAAAAATATAAAAATATAAAAATATAAAAATATAAAAATATAAAAATATAAAAATATAAAAATATAAAAATATAAAAATATAAAAATATAAAAATATAAACAACTTATAGAATCAAATTATAGAAACAATTTTCGAAAACAAGTTATGGTCACAACTTATTGAAACAGCTTATTAAAAATTTAAAGTTCGATATGAGACTATAACAGCTTTTCACAGTTTTGTAAATATTTATCGTAGAGTGTTAAAAATATAATTATGTTTTTTGCTTTCATAATTTGTAGTTATAAATGGCTTCAATTGATAACAATTTAAATTATTTATTTATTTTATTAAATTTTGTATTTACAAACTGAATTTTATATAAATATATATGTATTATACTAATTTATTTTATTCAAGCCATGAATAACCCATTACAGATGTATTGCATTACCTAGTGATATTATTATTTTCAATATGGAGGAAAATGTTTATCAGTTAGCTTTTGCATGATAAATCTTTTAAAGTATAAACACGAATTGCTTTATCTTGGAGTTGTTCATACATAATAGTATGTTTCTGTATATACAACTTCTTAATAAAGTTTAAAATTAAATTTCTCTAGTATTTTATCTTGAAAAATGTTTTCATTAAAAGTTATAAAGAATTTCAAATAGCATTATTAAACAAATATACTTATAAAGTATAAGTATATTTGTTTACTATGTTTTATACTTATTTAGGGGCAAGTGCCCATATTTAGAACTGCATGCCTTTTAGAGCATATAATTTTAATCTAGTTCTAATAAATTTTATCTATCTGCATAAATATTTCTATTTAAATGCTGAGTACATAAAAACTTGAATATAAATGTTGCGTACCTAAGTACTTATAAATGAACTTTGTAGATAAATGTACATAAATATGTAAATTTATATAAATAATATACATAAATGAACATAAAACATAAAAATTCATTTTTATCAAGATTTACTAATATATAATAATTTATGAAAAAATTTATAAACAAAAAAATTTTTTAGGTTTTTAAGACATTCAAGAAACAATACTGAATGGATAAATCTTATTAAATTTTTTCCTGCATCAAAAATATTATTTTATTTCAAATATTTATATGATATTTACACCAAATATTTAAATAAATATTTGTCATATTTATATATTATACAGTTTATGTAAATATTCTACATTACATACAAATTTAATATAACAACAGAATAATTTTGATACATTAGAGCATTATGGTTGGCTTAAAAAAAAACTTATTAATAATAATTTCAGAAGATACAATGACTAAAGGTTTAACTAAGCAGTATACTTAATGAGATTAAAAAAAAAGTCAAAATATTTATTATTGGTTAAATAAGCATATATGCAAAATACACATACATTTATATAAAGTAAATCAAGAAACAAATTAGAAACTGCAAGATAAAATAGAAAATTTGAAAAATTTTATAATTTGCATATTCAATTATTACATTTTTTAATAACGGCTGTTAAAAAAAAAGATGTATATTGAAGATATAAAAAATATAAATATTTTCACTCAACATATTAATTCTTTTTATATACTGATACAGAATATGTATGGACTCGAACAAAATTTGTTGTAGTATTTTGTGGTACATGTATTTTGATACGGAAATTTTGAAAACAGGCTAAGATGGACTTCTATAAATATTTTAAGTAATACTTAGTCCAAATAAACTAACTATTTGAACCTTTTGCTGAGTACTTCTAAAAAAACATCTCTCATTTTTGATCTGAATTTTTCGTACCATCGTAAAATAGCTTCACGCCTTTTAACTTTTTCAACATGTGGCATTTTACTTTCTAATTCTATAATTGACAATAATTCAGACCAGTCATGTACATACATTAAAAGGGCATTATTAGTTTCTGCAGGTAACCATGAATAACGAACTTTAGTGTAACATAAAGTTTTTAAACGACCAACAGTTAATATATTAAAATGTTTTGAACGAGAAGATAAGATATGGTTACTATAAATTGTACCCAAAAAGTTACAAAAATACATTCTTTGAGAGTGTAAGTCTACATTATTCCTTTTTATAAGTGGAAACTTTCTATAAGTTGCAACACCCAATGGCCATTGATAATAAAAATAAGGAGGATAAGACAAATTAATGTCATAAACAATAAAAACAGAGCCTGTTTACACAAATCAATTACCCAACTATTATTACATTGCTCATTGCCAAGCATAATAATTCCTAGATTTTGAAGCAAAGGAAACAATTTTTTATTAAGCAGGGAATGAAGCCACTTCAAACTTGCGTTGATTTTTTTTTCTTCTATTCCATTAAGTATAACAACTAAGTCTTTTATATCTTTAGGAGCTGTTTCTGGAAGTAATGCAGGTCCAGTAAAATAAACCAACTTAACACTATTAATTTGAATAACACCTTCATCCCAAATATATTTATTACTACGTTGCACTACACCTTCTATAATGTGCGTCCAGAAATATTCTGAAATAGCAGCTTTTCCCCAAACATATACTTGTTTTTGCTCATGAATACCAGAACTTTTTAGATTTATAGAAACATGATTATTCAATACTTCTTGAGTTTTGAATTTAAAAAAACGCCATATAAGGAAATTAGAAATAAAAATGGTACAAACCAAACATAATATCTTTTTTATAAACTTCATTTTTTTGTTTTATTCTAGAAACAAAGATAACAATTGTCAAACAACTCGAAATAAATAGCATAATATAACAGTCCTAATATATATAAATATTATATAACATATATCGAAATAATAAAAATAATAATATATATCACATATGATATATTATGTTACATTATGCATTTAAAAGTGCTATTTATAAAATTACAATATATTCGTTAAACAATGTGCTTTAGTTAGTCAAATAAATTAAATGCAGTCAAAACATGTAAACAATAAATCATGCTTAAATTTTGTATTAAAAAAAACCAGCAATCTTCATAAGCAGATAGATTAACATATTAAAAGGAAAATCAAAACAAAAAAATGATAAAAAAATGAATTACTTGAATTGAATTAATTTTACTTAATGAATGTATACACAAAAAAATAACTAGTGTTGCGGTAGTCGTATAGAGGTAGAGCGCTTGCATCATAAGCAAAAAGTTCTGAGTTTGATACCTACCATGTCCCTGATATTACCGTGTTCAACTAGTTTCTCCACCCAGTGGACTTTTTTGTCAAGGTTTGCGTTGCAGAGTTAAAGAGGTTCAATTATAGTAGCCTCCTTGACTTCTTGGCGTTGGAGAGTTAATTAACATTAAAAATAAATAGATAAAAATAAACTTGTCATTTTGCTCAAAGCTTGTCTGCTTTGTTATTATCTAGGTATCGATATAATAATATTGTGCATTCTTTCCAAAAATGATAATGATCTAATGCAAAAAATTCACACACGCTTTAGTGTTTAACCTCACTCAAAACACTTTTTTTTTTTTTAATAATAATAAACAAATATAAGAATATATTAAAAAAATAAGTAACTTTTTTACTAATAAACAAATATAAAAATATAATTAAAAAAAACAAGAAAAAGATAAACCAAAAATATGAATAATATATATATATATATATATATATATATATATATATATATATATATATATATATATATATATATATATATATATACATACATATATATAATATATAAAACTACATACTTTTCACTACTATGAGTTTCATGCAAAATGCAATCATTAGCTGTAAATCTGTTTTTTTCTTGTGAAAAAATAATAATTCTGTACAAAAGAAAATGAGTCAGAAAAATCTAATCTTTTGGTTGGTGGTTGTCCAGCAAAAACTTGTTCTCATGATGACATTTGGATATTAGTTTGTTTTTTTTGTTTAATAATTCTTTAGGATTTTTATGCAATAAAATTAATAGTTTTTCATATTAGCATAATAGGCATTTTTTGGTAATGTTGTTGTAGGTGAGGGCGCTTTTTATGATGGACCATTTTAAATTAGGTGTTATTTTTGATTTATTTTGTATATCCCATAGATATTTTGAAAGCGTGGTTGCGTTTGCAAGTTTTTTGTTTTTGAAGGATTGCTTGAGATTTGCCTATCTAGTTTTCCACATGCCCTCTTTTGAACCAATGTGCGTTTTGTTGGCTGTGTTTGGGAATGATGAAATGCACTTTTATTACATTTTATTACATTTGTTTTTTTGCAATTTCTGTTCATAGGATAGATTTCGCTTAGTTTACGATTGCAAGCTAAGGTGGCCGTTTAGTTCATTGAAATAATTTTATCATTATGGTTCTTTATAATTTTTGCTATGTTGCTTGTGCAGCTGTAGCTTACTGTATTATGGTTAAATAGTTTATGAAACGGAATTGGTTTTGAAAAATGTTTGTCAATTAATTGCATTTTTATTGTATGGTGGGTTAAACCAGATTATATTTCTTTTTCTTTTACGATTAGGGGTTACTTTGGTATTAATTTTAGGGTTGTATTCAAAACTAAAATCTTTGAACCCATTTCTTTTTAGGGCTTCGTTGTATTCTACCTTTGCCGAGTTGAATATTTTTTTGTCAGAAGAATATTGGGATAACCAATAGTTAGTAGCAATTAGAATTTGTTTATTATTTGTGGGGGGTGGTTGGACTCGGTATGGATGTAAAGTAGGTTGGTATTTGGTTTTTTGAAAGTATGATATGAGTCTTTTTCAAGGTTAAATGTTACATCTTTTAAGTAACGAAGTTAGCAATTGTTAGGTTTGTCATAATTTTTAATTGGAAGCCGATTTTTTTTGAAAAAAATTATATTTTTTCGGATTCTATCTATCTGTGCGGCAGATTTTTTACACATTATTATTAGCCTGTCGTCCCGGTAGAGGCCCATATTGCTGTTGGTAACAGTTTCTGATAATGAGTTTAATATATACAGACCGACCAGCAAACCTCAGCTCCATCATTGCAATCCATTGTGACGTTAAAGCAGTCGTTAGTTGACTTTTTTGAAGACGTGGTTAGAGACTTTCTGCAATGGATAATTGTTCTGATTTCTTCTTCGCTAATTTTCATGACTTCTTTTGCAAATGTTAGAGCATTTTTTAGAATTGTAGGTGTGATAGAGGAGTAAAATTCAGTGATATCGAGTTGGATAAAATTGCAGTGTTTCTTTTCTTCTATATTTTTGAACCATTTGTTGACTTCAGCTGTATTTTTCCACTGGTTTAATTTTAATGTATTTTTTTTGCGTTTATTGATCTTATCTAAATAGGTTTTGCTTACAATGCCAAATTGGCCCTCTGCTGAATTTATTAGGCAGCAGGGTTTTATGCTTCGTAAATTAATTTTACGGTCCTTCAATGTGATGAACGCTTCTGATTTGATGATTATTTTAGATTTATTAGATATATTTGTTTTTGCTATGTTTTTTGCTTCAAGGTTTTGCAAGGTTTATTGCATTTTCAAGTTTTATATATTTTACTTTTGGTGCTTTTTTATATGAATTTGTGATATTTCCTTTCAGTAGTTTAATGTGGTCTTTGGGGGTTCATAAATATTGCTGGTTTTGTCTGCAAATATTATGATATTGAGATTTGATTTTATGTTCAATATGTTGTTCTTTAGTTTTTTTTTGAATTTATTGAAAGTTTTTTTTAATTTTATTAATTTTACTTATGATTTTATCTTTCTAAATTTTTGAAATTACTAAATTGATTCTATATATCTGTGCGGCAGATAGATAAAATCTGAATAAATATTGCAAATTTTTTTAAAAATCGGCTTCCAAATAGAAATTATGACAAACCTAACGATTGCTAACTTCGTTAGTTACATCTTTTAAGTAACGAAGTTAGCAATTGTTAGGTTTGTCATAATTTTTAATTGGAAGCCGATTTTTTTTGAAAAAAATTATATTTTTTCGGATTCTATCTATCTGTGCGGCAGATTTTTTACACATTATTATTAGCCTGTCGTCCCGGTAGAGGCCCATATTGCTGTTGGTAACAGTTTCTGATAATGAGTTTAATATATACAGACCGACCAGCAAACCTCAGCTCCATCATTGCAATCCATTGTGACGTTAAAGCAGTCGTTAGTTGACTTTTTTGAAGACGTGGTTAGAGACTTTCTGCAATGGATAATTGTTCTGATTTCTTCTTCGCTAATTTTCATGACTTCTTTTGCAAATGTTAGAGCATTTTTTAGAATTGTAGGTGTGATAGAGGAGTAAAATTCAGTGATATCGAGTTGGATAAAATTGCAGTGTTTCTTTTCTTCTATATTTTTGAACCATTTGTTGACTTCAGCTGTATTTTTCCACTGGTTTAATTTTAATGTATTTTTTTTGCGTTTATTGATCTTATCTAAATAGGTTTTGCTTACAATGCCAAATTGGCCCTCTGCTGAATTTATTAGGCAGCAGGGTTTTATGCTTCGTAAATTAATTTTACGGTCCTTCAATGTGATGAACGCTTCTGATTTGATGATTATTTTAGATTTATTAGATATATTTGTTTTTGCTATGTTTTTTGCTTCAAGGTTTTGCAAGGTTTATTGCATTTTCAAGTTTTATATATTTTACTTTTGGTGCTTTTTTATATGAATTTGTGATATTTCCTTTCAGTAGTTTAATGTGGTCTTTGGGGGTTCATAAATATTGCTGGTTTTGTCTGCAAATATTATGATATTGAGATTTGATTTTATGTTCAATATGTTGTTCTTTAGTTTTTTTTTGAATTTATTGAAAGTTTTTTTTAATTTTATTAATTTTACTTATGATTTTATCTTTCTAAATTTTTGAAATTACTAAATTGATTCTATATATCTGTGCGGCAGATAGATAAAATCTGAATAAATATTGCAAATTTTTTTAAAAATCGGCTTCCAAATAGAAATTATGACAAACCTAACGATTGCTAACTTCGTTACTTAAAAGATGTATAATTTAACCTTAAAAGTAAGCTAAAGCTGCACAAGCAACATAGCAAAAATTATAAAAAACCATAATGATAAAATTATTTTGATGAACTAAACAGCCACTTAAGCTTGCAATTGTAAACTAAACGAAATCTACCCTATGAACAGAAATTGCAAAAAAACAAATGCAATTTATAAGAGGATTGCATCATTCCTAAACACAGCCGAAAAAACATACATTAATTCAAAAGAGGGCATGTGGAAAACTAGATCAACAAATAACAAGCAATTCTTCAAAAACAAAAAACTCGCAAACGCAACCATTTCAAAATATCTTTGATATACAAAATACATCAAAAATAACACCCAATTTAAAATGGTCCATCATAAAAAGTGCCTTCGCCTACAACAACATTACCAAAAAATGCCTATTATGCTTATACGAAAAACTATTAATTTTATTGCATCAAAATCCTAAAGATTTTTATTTTAACAAAAAAAACGAATTAATATCCAAATGTCACCATGAGAACAAGTTTTTGTTGGACAACCACAAACCAAAAGATCTGATTTTTCTGAATGTATATATATTTATACACACACATATATATTCCCCAAATTTAAAGATGTATTATAATTTAATGAAACCTTTTTATCAAATTCTTTCCAGAGATCAGGATAAACTTTTAACACCATACTCAATATTTTATGATCTAAATATTTATAAAGAAAAATAAACTATAGAATATAAAAACCTAATATCCTAAATTTATAT